ACACCAGTCAAATGCTTCCTTTTGTGATCTGAAGAGGCTTCTTGTCATTGAATGAGGTAGAAAATATGTTCCATATGCTACTTTAAAAAGAATACATCAATTAGCAATAAATTAGGGTGACCATACGTCCTCTTTTCCCCGGACATGTCCTCTTTTTGGACCTAAAACATTCTAATATTGTATATAATTTTGGCGCATCAGGGAGCCGCCCTCAGGATGCGGTCCATTTATATATTTTTTTGAATGAGCATTTGCGTTGTTTACTTTCACTTTCGATTTCGTGATCACACGCACTCTGTGTAAAGGGAGCAAGCACATCTTACAAGATCAGATATTTGTCAATGAGCTCAGAATCTGTTGAGCAGCAAATACTCCAGCATGGTCTTGTCAGTCATCTCTCCTTATTCTCGACCTGTGATAAGTCAAAGCTGACTCCCTCCCTTGTATTCACATTTCTAAACCTGTTGTCCAACAAAAGAGAACATTATAACCTTTTTACTCCACAACACCAGTCAAATGCTTTTTTTTGTGATCTGATGTGGCTTCTTGTCACAGAATGAGGCAGAAAATATGTTCCATATGCTACTTTAAAAAGAATACATCAATTAGCAATAAATTAGGGTGACCATACGTCCTCTTTTCCCCGGACATGTCCTCTTTTTGGACCTAAAACATTCTAATATTGTATATAATTTTGGCGCATCAGGGAGCCGCCCTCAGGATGCGGTCCATTTATATATTTTTTTGAATGAGCATTTGCGTTGTTTACTTTCACTTTCGATTTCGTGATCACACGCACTCTGTGTAAAGGGAGCAAGCACATCTTACAAGATCAGATATTTGTCAATGAGCTCAGAATCTGTTGAGCAGCAAATACTCCAGCATGGTCTTGTCAGTCATCTCTCCTTATTCTCGACCTGTGATAAGTCAAAGCTGACTCCGGTAGCTCTTATTGGATACAGGGTTGCCAAGTCCACATTTTTTTCCACAGAATTGGGCTACTTTTAAACTATTGCCATGGGTTGATTTTCCCAAGTGGGTTAAAGGTTTGAAATATTGCATAAATTACATTTGACTGAAATGCTTGTATTGAAATTTTTTGCATTCTACCTATGATAAAACTTTCATGGACTTCTACAGTAAATGTTCTCTCCTGGTGGAATGACCTGCCCAGCTCAATCCAAGCAGCTGAGTCCTTAATATGTTCAAGAAACAGCTGAAAACACATCTCTTTCATCTTCATTTGACCCTCTAACTCTAGCACGCTCTATTATAATGCTACTCTAATGGCCAATCCATCATTTTTTGGGGAACGTTTATTTATTTTTTGACTTTTTTTTACTTTTGAACAAATACAATTTATAGTTATCAACTCATGCATATGATATTTACAAGAGTTTAATATCAAAAGAACCTGAAAAATAAAATGACTTTGCAGCATGAAATAACAAAAACTAATGCATGTCTATCCCATTAAATAAGAGACTTTCTGTTAGTGTTCACAGGCTGCCTCGGCCTTACTATAAAAAAATGACTCCCTTTAGCAGAAAAACAGTGTGTGTATGAGAGTGGGCGTGTGACTCTGAGATGAATGCCATGAGGAGTTTGGGGGAAGTAGAGACACATTTCTCATCATTCCTGAAACTGATTTTGTGAGAAGTGTGTTTTTGATTAGAGGTCGACCGATAGTGGATTTTGCCGATACCGATAGCTGGGTTGGACCACATTGGCCGATACCGATTAATTAACCGATAGTTTTAAAATTGATACTGAACAAAAACATAAAATAGTGCTTTATTAACAAAAACAGTACTGAACCATACTAGTAGTAGTATAGTAAAAAAAAAATAATAGTAAATGTTGAAATTAACACAATCTAACAAGGAACAATACTTACACAGCTTTCATTAATCTTAATGCTACAACTGGACTCTTATTTTAAAGTGTTACCATTTCATTTCAACTGTCATGCTTAAAGATGCA